ACACACACACACACACACACACGAAATAAAAATTTTCAAAATACCACACCCTTGGGGGGGGGGGAACAGGCGGGGAGAAAAGTGTAACAATGAATGAATGGAAACCCAAAATCTCTGGAAATGTTCATTAAAATTAAAAATAAAATAAAAAAAAATACCACCCCACAGGGTCAGGTGCACCTTAGTCTTTTTTTCTTATATTGGTTTGCATACAAAATTGGTTGTTTTTTTGCTTCTATGCACCTTAGCCTTTAAACTGACATTCTAGCTCTTGAACCTTATGCATTATGAAAATGTTTGAAGTATTGTGGGAATGATCAGAATGTGGGAGGCACAAATGGGCATGAGCTGTTGGAAAAATTACACCAACAGACCTGCTCCTAGCAGGGTTGCCACAAAACCTCCCTTTGTTAAAAATCAATCAAAAAATGAATGTAGTAGTTGCCAAGTGCAAGTGTGTCTATCCGTATGTGACTGGCAGGAGCATACCCTGTAACGGTTCACACAGTGAGTGACACTGACCTGCTCGTTAAAGGCACAAGAACCAACTCCCACACGACCAAGGATGAACTCACAGCTCGGGGAGGGGATTGAGGAGTAATTCCCCACTAGCATTTTAAAAGCTGGGTTGGCAAATGTAAATACAACGTACTGATCCTCTTAACACTTACCCTCCAGTGGGGTTTTGTTTTGGAGCTTTTGTGTGTTTGTTTTTTGGGTTGTTGTTTTTTAATTTCTATCCAGGTTTTCAGAGACTAACTCTCACAGGAGCTGACTGCCCACCTTTCTCATCACCTGAAGCAGCAGCAGCTGGATTAGAACTGTTAACCATTAGGCTGCCAGAGATCCCGAACTACAATGTCTGCTATTTATTTTTACAATTACAAGAAAAAGTTAGGAAAAATTTTATTTCAATTTCTCGCCTCTGATGACATTCTCCCCAGAAACACTCGCCAATGGTTCCAACTTAGAAGAGGATCCCGCAAACTTGAAAACTGCCCGATGTTTCTCTTACATGGGACAAAATTATACTATAAAGAACTAGACATCTGAGAACAAGACACACATTTACCACAGACTGAATTGTGTCTCCCTAAAATACATATAAGATATAAATGTGGAAGCTACGTACTGATCCTCTATGACCTGACGAACCAAACAGTTCTCAAAGGGCTCAGGGTAGAATGTAACAGCCCACCCCTCAGGAGCTCCTGCGCCCCGAGTAGGCAAGGACTATGCTGCCACTCCACCTCCACACAGCTCGATGCCACCAGCTGCTCCACTGAAGAACAGGCAATGTTCTCTGTGCGATTAACAATCTAAGAAAACCCATCAGCTAGGAGATGGGTTGATTTGGGGGTTTTGTTTGGTTTCTTTTTTACTTTAATCTTGGCCTGTACTACATTTTGTCTCTCAAGAGATAAAAGGGAAAGGATTTTTAAAAAAGAGATAAGAAGAGAGGAAAACTAGCCCGAGTGGGGACCTCAGGACCAAGAAGGAGCTGCCAGAAGTGGAGGGCGCGCTTGGACTCAGGTCTCTGCTGCAGGAAACTCTGTGACACCTGCGATTTCCAAGGATACCTGGTCCACAGATGCTGAAGGAAACCAGGTCTCTCCCCTAGAGCTGCCAGCCTGCACCGGACCTTCTAGCTTACTACACTGTGAGAGAATAAATCTGTGTCCAAAAGCCACCCACCTGGGTGTCTGTCACAGCAGCACTGGAGAACTAAGATAGCAACACAGAAAACATTCCAGATAGTCTATTTAGGCAAAAACCCAGAAAAGCTGTAAAATACCATGCACAGGGGGGGAAAGATAATTCTTTTAAAAGGAGAGAAGAGTGGATTATAAGAGATTTTTCCTTTCATAGTTCCTGTTTTTCCTATAGGTTATCAAAGAAAAAATATACCGTGCACAGAATAAAGCAAGGTAAAAGCATTCTCAAGGAGTTTAATCAGTTAGGTCATTGGAGAGAACACAGTAACAACATAAAAGCTTTATTCTTTTATTTCTTTTAAAGTTAAAGAAACTTTGATTATAATTTGTTTAAAAGGTTTTTTTCAAACACTCAAAACATAATATGGGAATGACATCTTTTCCCCCCTCACTCAAAATCATGACATCATAGAATACATCCTTGTTGACTGGTAAGAAGTTACACTTACTTAACCTGGTATCTGCTATACCTCACGCATTAATCCTACCCAAAAACTCACGGTTCAATTCCACAAAGGTGAGCGAATCTATTCTCTCAGGAGTAACATTTTCAAATATAAAAGACTTCCTCTACAAGCAAAGAGTTTTTAAAGTATGTAAATTACACTCACAGGACCTGATTGAAAGGCTGAGAAGGAGATTTCACTTTAGAATGCACACACTCACACACACACAGGAGCAAACGCTTCCATGCAGACGCCACTACTCTAGGTTGCATTACACAGCACACTGCAGGATCGTACTTCTACGAACTAAGAACCAAGCCGGTCCTGGGGGACACTGGGAGTGGAAGGTGTCTGCATTAGAGCAATCTTAACCGCATCCCCCGGAACCGCCTGTCCGTCTCCAGCCCAACGCCCGTGACCACTCTCAGAAAGACAGGATGGTCTTGTGGATAATCTCCACGGCCTCCAGGATCTCGTCCTCCTTGATCACCAGTGGAGGCGCCAGCCGGATGATATCACCGTGGGTCGGCTTGGCCAGAAGTCC